TTTTTTTTTTTTTTTTTTTTTTTTTTTTTTTTTCCTACCCTAATTGTATATGACCTCACGCGTGCACGAATGCACGTGTGAAAAACCTTTATGTATAAGCATCTGCACACGCGCATGCATGGCAGGCAGCACGCCTAGTACACATTCGCATGTATTCACACATGTGCGTGTGTCCATATACGCTATGCATGCACGTGTGCACACCCCCCACGCATGTACAATAAACACAACAACGCTTTTCTCATTTTCGCCTCCTTTTTATAATCACATATATATAAGAATTACCTATACACCTCAACTTTTAAAGGAGCCTCCTCTTATCGTTCATTTGGCAGTGAAATGAAAAAAAAAAGCAACACATCGTTGTATGGTTCGCCAGGTCCCCAAATAAAAATAGCAATGCAGTCCATTTGGCAAAAGGGAGAGAATTGCATGATGGAGGGTCAAGTGAAGGGATGTTTCGATTTGCTACGTCTTTCCACAGGGAAAAAAAAAAAAAAAAAAAAAAAAGGAGTTACATATGACGTGTGAGCTAGTCGGTATACAAACGGATCGGCATAAATGGGCAGAAAAAAAAAAAAAAAAAAAAAAAAAAATGATGCATATTAGGATGGTGTACACGGGTTGAGAAAATGTTTTACAAAGGGGGCGTTATTTCTCCCGGCGATGGGGGCAGCGGCTTCAAGCAGCAGCCACCCCACACCTCGTTGGTGAGACGTTTCTTAACAGGCGCAAAGGGGAATACACATGGTGGGTGCTCCCTCCCCGTGCATGTTGTTGCTGTGATGCACTTTTTGCTGGGCCCATTTTCCTACGCTTCGTCCTCCGCGTCCGCTTCTGCATCGCCAGTGTGGGTATTTTTTTTTTTTTTTTTTTTTTTTTTTTTTTTTTTTTCCTACCCTAATTGTATATGACCTCACGCGTGCACGAATGCACGTGTGAAAAACCTTTATGTATAAGCATCTGCACACGCGCATGCATGGCAGGCAGCACGCCTAGTACACATTCGCATGTATTCACACATGTGCGTGTGTCCATATACGCTATGCATGCACGTGTGCACACCCCCCACGCATGTACAATAAACACAACAACGCTTTTCTCATTTTCGCCTCCTTTTTATAATCACATATATATAAGAATTACCTATACACCTCAACTTTTAAAGGAGCCTCCTCTTATCGTTCATTTGGCAGTGAAATGAAAAAAAAAAGCAACACATCGTTGTATGGTTCGCCAGGTCCCCAAATAAAAATAGCAATGCAGTCCATTTGGCAAAAGGGAGAGAATTGCATGATGGAGGGTCAAGTGAAGGGATGTTTCGATTTGCTACGTCTTTCCACAGGGAAAAAAAAAAAAAAAAAAAAAAAAAAAAATGATGCATATTAGGATGGTGTACACGGGTTGAGAAAATGTTTTACAAAGGGGGCGTTATTTCTCCCGGCGATGGGGGCAGCGGCTTCAAGCAGCAGCCACCCCACACCTCGTTGGTGAGACGTTTCTTAACAGGCGCAAAGGGGAATACACATGGTGGGTGCTCCCTCCCCGTGCATGTTGTTGCTGTGATGCACTTTTTGCTGGGCCCATTTTCCTACGCTTCGTCCTCCGCGTCCGCTTCTGCATCGCCAGTGTGGGTATTTTTTTTTTTTTTTTTCTTCTGAGGGGCCTTCTTCTTCTGCTCCTGCACGAAGTTCGCGCCCGGGGGTTTGGGTTTGTTAAGCTTCTGCGTTGGCTTCTTAGCATTCATGAACCCATTTAAAGCTAAACTTGCATTGGCAGATGTACCCGGAGCACGATATACACCAGTCTTCTTCGAGTCGATACCTAGCTGCTTATGTATGTACAGCTGCTGCTTGGAGTTTTCCATATAGGTCCCCAAAGATGCATCTGACTCTGCAAAATTAATTTTGTTAAAAGGAAGAATAATGACTTTGTATAATTCTTCAAAATTAATTCTGCTAACGATAAAACCATCGTGGGTAAAAATTTTCAAATGATTATCTACTCGAAGTCTTGGGTGAGTTGTGGCTGTAAGAAAATGCTTGCCATCATTAAAGAATTCACAAATGACTGCACAGGATGCTTTAGTTTTGCTAACCTCTTTCTTTGTAGAAGTATTCCACACAGTGATGTCTCCACTCAAATTCCCGAACCCACCAGTTAGAAGTAGCTTCTCACAGCAATTCAATTTTAACGTGTTAAATTTGTGTCTTCCAAATGAGTGAGCTACATTGGCGCATTTATCGTACATAACGATTTCAGCAGGTATGTCTCCTTTACATACATAAAATTTATTCTGGTTATACGACCAGATGAAGTCATATATTTGTCCACGGTCGGTCATTATATTCACCTCGCTAAACTTATTGGTTTCAATAAAAAATAAATTGCTTAAGCCATAATAATATTGCTTCTCCTTATCGACCTGTGTGTGTACATTTAACAACACTGCACTTGCATTTTTATTCCACTTGAGTTTCATTTCGTCCGAGTTGAAAAAGGACTTGGAGTAAATATGGCTCTCTAGGTTGGAAGCGCTGAAAATTTTGAAGACAGATGGCTTGCCCTTACTTCCTCGTTCATACGTCGCGATCAGCACTCCTCCTTTTTTATTACCACCTTGCTCAGGGGATACATCAACATATTCAAGATTCTCTAGGGTCATTTTATTTATGTAACTTGCAAAATTGTTTTCCTTATAAATGTAAATGGTGTTGTTGATGCGGATTATACACATGGACTCGCTCTCGCTCCACTTGTAGAATGGCCACACTTTGCTGCTGTAGCTTTTTAGCGTATCTGCACGTACGGGCGTCTCATCCTTGTTATCCCGCTGTCCGCTTCCTTCCTCATCATCGTCGCTCTCCTCCTCGATGTTGCCTCCCTGCCCCGTCGTCTTCACACCCCCCCCTTTGCAAACCTTTTTGGCTGTTTCTCCATCCGCACTTTGACTACCCTTACCACTAGAATCACTCTTCTTTTTTTTCTTCTTCTTCTTTGCAGCCCCTTCGCCAATTTTATACACGAATAAATTGTGTGGTGACACCTCCGGCTTGTACTGGCAGTAGAGAACCAGATGGGTATCCTTGGGGCTGCTACTCACTGCCTTTATCGGTGTCTTGGCCTTGATTTGGAAGGCTGCTTTATTCGTTTCACCCTGTAGGTCTATGACTTCCGCAACGTTCAAGTTTGCCTTCCTCACGAGAATTATTTTTTTATAATCGTTTGTACAAGCAGCTAGCTCCACATCATCATATTGCTTGTAAATGCGAATGCCACGATTGATTACAAAATCGTTATTGAATTTGTGTCCTGTTTTTTTTACTTGTGTTGAGGGTATCATTCCATTGCTGCTAGTCTTTTCCTTCACATCTGTGCATTCCCGCTTGGTACTTTCATTTGGCGTCACGCCATCCTCTTCACTTCGCTTGATCTCCTGTTCTATATCGCCAATTATGGAGCTGCTAAAGCTAACGTCGTATTCATAAACGGTGGCTTTATTTTTGCTCACCGCAAGGAAGAACAGGTTGTTGTTGTTGCTTGGCTCACTCGACTTCATTGTTGCTGTCATGTAATGATTATTCAAAGCGGCTCCTCCGCGTTTGTTTGTCTCACCGCGCGTGTGAGCAATCCAATGCAGGGTTTCCGTTCCCCCTACGGTCGCTTTTTGCGCGGAGTGCCTTCCAGCGGGATAATCAATGGCCTGTTAGCGACCTCCAAGCGGCTTCTTAGCGGCTTGACTGTGATTTGCGCAACGCGTTCCGTGTGGTGGCGACGCATTATACGCATGATCGTAGTAGCCCTCCTCCTTTTATCTCCGTTAAACGGATGGTTAATTTCCAATTATTACGTGCTTCCAATTTTGGAAGGGGACATCCCACCGAGGCACGAACAAAAAAAAAAAAAAAAAAAAAAAAAAAAAAAAAAACATTAACCAGTGAAGAGGATTAGAAGTTAAGTAGATAACAATTTTAGAAATTATTTTTTATATATTTTATTTATTTATTTTTTATTTTTTTTTTCCTCAAAGGCCTCCCCCCTCCACGTACAAATTTTCCCCTTTTTTAAGGCACCTAATGAATGGGTGCATTTGGGGAGCCTTTTTCTCTTATGAGATGCATGTGACTCGCTTGTTTTTTTTTTTTTTCATGAATTACAATGATCCTTGTTCAGGGGTGGGTGGTTCCTCCCCACATGCACGCATACGCAAGTGAGGGAAAACACGCAGGTCCATGTTGCACTAATACACCTGTACATGTAAAAATGCTCATCAGTGTACATAAGATAACGTAACCTCAACTCGCCCCCTGTCATCGTACCATTCGCCATTTATGTACACACCATTATTATTATTATTATTATTTTCTTTTTTACCATGAGGGGGTAATTATGTCCACGGTATGAGACGACTCAAAGGTATATCCGGCCCAGGGCAAATAGGCACAGTTAAGCAATCATTCCATTGGTGTGCATACAGAGGAAAAGGGTAACATTTAAAAATGCCTATATGACTTGTTCGACTGGATTGGTGTACTCTAGGTTAGCTGCGCAAACCCGCCTTGTCCACACTTCATATTTTGTATAAAATACAATTTCATTCCTCACACGAACAGGTGCCGCCCCTGTGTATACGTAATTAGGGCATGCCGCATTGTGGGGGGTGGACCCTTCCATTTGGAGACTGAGCTGGTTGTCCTGATCAATATATATATATGTATATATATATAAAAGAACTCACAATTTACGAATGTGTTCCAACGTTAAGCGGTGTCGTTTTTTTTTTTTTTTTTTTTTTATTTACTCTCAAACCACTAACTTTGTGGTCTCCCAAACGTCTCACTCATCGTGCAAAAAAAAAAAAAAAAAGGCAAACAGGCTGACCACAGTTGAAGAAATAATTACAGGGAGGTCTTCCCACACATTTAATAAAAAGTAAAACTTAAGCGTAGCTCTCTCCGCGGTGCTCTACAGACAGGTTATTTATGCTTACTCCTCCGCGAGCATTCTTTTTTTTTTTTTTTTTTTTATCCCAACGTATGTCTACAATTAGTGGATTATTTAAAACAAATTAATGCACTGAGTTTAGAAGTTTTTTTTTTTTTTTTTTTTTCCCTTCCGCCCGTCTTGTTCACTTCCTCTTCGTATTCCCTCCATCCTATATAAGCCCTTCCTTCATCGCGCCATTGTACAAATGCTTATTGGGAAGAACGCGCTACCACTCTCCACTGCACATGCCTAGGTCGTCCACCTGTGCGCAATACTTTCATTCAGCTGTGCCATCACGCTGGCACAAAAGGACAGGTCGCCAAGCAAAGTAGCAGCGCAAAAGTGCAACCCGTATAATACCACAAAGCAGACGCGACTGCACCAGATCGGCAACACAAAGCAGAGGTGTATATTAGGAGGTGAGAAAAAAGGCACAAGCCCGGTTACAAAATTGCTTCCTTTGCCATCCTTCCCTCTCTGTAAGAGTGAACATTTTAAAGCTTTTCCTGTTATACATTAACAAGTTGATGAACACACGTCTGTCAACTCTCCATTGGGAGCTGCCGCTTTTTTTTTTTTTTTTTTTGGCAACGTATTTATGCCGACAAGTGAGCACCCTTCAAAGGACGAAATTAGTAGCCCGCTCAGAACAAACCATGAGAGTGACCCCCCTGTGGATAATAAGCTTCCTTTTTGCCCTCGTGTTGGCGCATGCCCTTGAAAATGTAAAGCACGAAAGGATCCCCGACTAGGGAAAAACAAGCATACACACATATATGTGTACACAGGGGCGCGTGAAAGAAAAAAAAATTTCCTACTCCCTCTAACTCACCCCCTTCGCAGGAAGTTAAACAAGAAATCGCGCTTATCCACAAGAGCGTTGTGAAGAAGGTGCCACTGAAAACGTGGCTGGACTTAGTGAATAACTCCATCAGTTTGATAATCGAAGCAAACAGTTTAAAAAATAAAAAACTGCAAGAGCAAGATTTAGTCATTTGGAACAATGGCAAGCGCATGAATGAGAAATATTTTAACTCAGATCACTTCAGAAGGGGAAACAAAAATGTATATGTCTTTTTGTCGGGCCAGGTGAGAGAGTGGCAATACACCATCGCAGGAGTGAGTTGCGTCCTGTCTTTGTATCCACCTAACATCCAGTACATCACCAACAACAAAAAACGACAACCACGCACCCTCCCTCATTTGTCGCCCTTTTCCCACTTTTTTTTACCCCCTTGCAGATGCCGGGAGCAAATTGCTTCACCGCGGCAAACATTTACAATACCTTTGCTGACCATGTTACCAAATACACAGGTGTGATAAAAAAATATTTTCACATGGAGGACGACGCCAGTGGGGAATGGACATCCATGAAGGAGCTCCTGCAACTTTTAATGAAGTCGAAGGAGCTGAGGGACCTAGTGGCTGGCATCAAAACGGACGAGCATATCGAGGCAGTGAGACAGAAAATCCTGGAGCTCACACAGAAAAATAAAAACTACCAAATTTTCTTTGATATTCTGAGGGAACACAAAATTGTTTACAACATCCTCGATAGTAAGGTCAAGTGGAGGACCTTCGTGAAGGAGAACCTCGGAAATTTTAAGAAGCTCCTGGAGCCCTACTACGCCAATGTGCGCGCGACCGACTTGTAAAGTGGCGACGCGAAAGCGGGTGCGGTCATAATCGTAACACCGTGGTGGCGCACCGCAATCACAACTCTTTTTTTTTTTTTTTTTTTAATTTGTATACTCCTAACCATTTTAAACAACTTAAACGTAGGTTAAAAAAAAAAAATGTCACTTACATTTGGTTTCCCCCCATGGGGAACAGCCCCCCTGCATGTGCAAAATTGTAAAAAAAAAAAAAATTATCATTTTATTCTTTTTTTAAATCATGTCGCTTTGCACACACATCATCATCCCTGCGATGGCGAAAAGCCACTCGAGCAACTCGAATCAAAAGTTCATCGAGAAGGACAGCCCCAAGTTACCAAACGGAAGGGCTTTCACAAATCCATATGACCCCAACAAATGCAAAGAGTCATCCGGAATACAATTCACTTTGACATTAAATTTCCCCTTAACGTACTGAGTTGAAACGTTCAAGTTCGTGTCCGGGATCCTGTAGGCAACTGCGCAGTGAAAGGGGGAGTACTTCCCGGGCAAACCACCTTCCACGTTTGCCTCGAGCTGTTCTTGTAAAATTTCAATTTGCTTTTGTTGATTGTCTATCATGTGTAAAACATTTTGATAATTTTTACTTCGCTCAATCTCTTTAATGAGTTTTTTTTTTTTTTTTTTTGTCAAATCCTGTGATAATTTTTTTACATAATTTATATTTTTTTGTATTAACTGTTCATATTTTTCCATCGGAAAATTGTACACAAAATTGGGGAGGCTGGAGGCGTGCTCTTCTTCAAAACCACTGTCTTTGCTCATTTTATTATACAAGGAAAATTTAAAACTTGAGGGAAATAAATTTTGTAGCTTCTTTTCATACGCTTCGAATGTTTGTTTAACATGATTAACGAAGGAAACGTAATCTGCGTTGCTTTCCCTGTGCGAGAGGACCGTTTCTTTAATGTCGTCCAATGCCTTCAATTTAATGGATTGAATTTTATACAATAAAAGATTGTACAAATTCTCCTCAATATTTTTAACGATATCGAGGAAGCAATTGTAATTGTGCTGAAGATATTGTTCTTTCACTTTTTCGTTGCGCATATTTTGCACATCCGCTAGGTGTGTGTGTTTTTCGTACTTGTTCTCAAAGTCGCTTAATATGTGAAGGACAAAATTTTTCAAGTTTTCCTTCTGATCTATGCCCTTTGTATATGAACAGAAGATGGTTTGAAGCGATAAAATGACTTTACCTTTGAAGTTTTCTAAATGCTTTTTGTATTCAATCACGTTTTTGAGCGCCTCTTTGGGGTTGCTCTCCAGATTGCTAAGCTCGATGGATCCCTCCGATTCGGATCCGTCGGGAATGTTCAGCGGGGGCACCTTCCCCGGTGTTGCTTTTCCGGTTGATACCTTCCCCTCTGGTGTCATTCCTCCAGCGGGTGCCACCCCTCTATGTGGCACTTGTGCACTTGTTGGCTCCCCCCCCTTGTTCTTTTTCCCCGCATTGCTCTTATCAAAGATTGAAAAAATCGAGCAGACCTTATACCTGTTGAGCTTGTATGATTGGCCTTTCCTTCTTTTATTATTCTGAATGTACAGGTAACTTTTTGGCTTATAATATTTGTTCCTGCTGTATGACCAATTATTTCTGTTCGGATGGACACAACCGTGTGTCTTTATTCCGTTGAGGACTCTACCCCCCTTTATCCCATTCTGCCATTTGTACGATATCCCATGCAGATGTGTATTGAGCACTATCAGGAGAAGTGTGCATCCAATAAGGTTCTTAATTAAAAATAGCATGTTATGTGTGCGCGGTCATTTGGTATTTTGTTCTGTTCTGTTTTGTTTTGCCTTGTTATTTGTTTTATTTTTTTTATTTTAGCTTGGCTTGCGGGGAGAAGGGTGCGAACGCACTTGATGACATGTGAGTGTGTGATTTTAATATGATCATAAACCGGTATAGCCATAAGACCATATACATCGAGCGCGTGAAACCCTTTTTCCTTCCCTTCCGCGGAGGTCGACCGGATTGGAAGAACAAGAAGAGGGTACACTCAATGAAATCCACATATCAAATATACTTTTCTGTTATAATTTTTTCATCATGAGGCATCCGCAAATTAGTGGTTCTTGGGTGTAGAGGCTCGCTTGATCTCGTTCTTCTTTTCCCCTTTATGGGGCAATCTCGGGAAAAAAAAGAAAAAAATGTGCGTTCTGCTTACAAAAAAAAAAAAATGAAAGAAAAAAAATCGTTTTGATAGAATATAATGAGCACTTATAACAACGTGAGCTGTGCCCTCTTGAGAAAAATGTCCCAAAAGAGGATACTTATTTTTGCAACATATAGCAATAAACTATGTAGCCTCTTTCCCCGTGTTGCCTAATTTGGAATTTGGTTTTTTATTTTTGCGCAACCTCTGCCAATCATTTGCTTATATGGCGACATGGACACAGTTTCCCCCAATTCGTATTTCTACGCTGCATGTGCGAATTTGTTAGGAGAGAACAAAAAAAAAAAGGGAGCCATCAATCATGTATAATATATTAAGCATGGCCGCACTCTCCCTTGCAGCGACAAAATCACCGCCAGTGCTGTGCACGCCCGTGCGAAGGGCTTTTCTTCAGTTAGCTAAAAAGGTTGCGAAATAAATTTTGCCTGAACAGACCATAAAAAAAAAAAAAAAAAAAAAAAAAAAAAAAAAAAAAAAAAAAAA